CATCTCAGGTGTGACCATGGAGAGAAAGATACCAAACCAATTACTGTAGCACATACCGAATTAAATCGTGGTTTGAGTGAAACACATTAACCATATTATATTTTTTATTGAAATATGCCACCAATTTCATAAAATTCCTTAACTGTGGCATTCTGAGCTGTTTTTTTAAATCAATATTAGTGCAAAGTTGGAAGTTACAAAAAAACCCCCACAGCATTATTAGTCATTGGAAGTGCTTTTTCTTTATTTGCTTCTTGAACTTTGCATGTTATTTCAACTTTTGCTATTTCTTTGCTTGTTTTTTGGAAGGCATTTTATGATGCCATGCAAGAGACACTAGAAAGGGATAGCTGACAAGGAAAAAATTAAAAATTGGATAAAAAGTAAATGAATAATGTCATATTACTAAAAAGATGAGAGGCTAATTTGTGCCGACTTTTTGCTAATTTTGTTCAAGCCTCAAAATGAGGAGCTGTCACCCGTTCTGTGTAGCACTGATGACAGTGCCAATGATCCATGAAATAAGCTGCCGCTGGCTTTGTTCTGATAAGAATGAACAAATCTGCACAATGTTCGGCTCCCAGAATCTCATTTTCATACTTGCATGCAGGCTAAAAGAAATAAGCTGTTTGCAGGCTTGATTAATCAGACATTGGAGGGGTTTTTGTCTCTTTGATCTCTTTCGTCTCCTAGGTAACTTGCTTGACATTAATGTTGAGCTTGAGTAAAGACAATCAGGAATTGTCGACCAAACTGATATAAAAATTAAAGACCTTAACACTTTAAGTACTCCAGTAATGGTTCCGCTTTACTTCAGAAAACATCTGTTTTCATTTAATTAAAGAACAAAAGAGAATGGCATAAATATTTTTCATAGAGACCTATTATTCTATAAAAAGTTAAAGTATGATAATTGGTATTTTTAAATAAGTGCCTTGAAAGTGTTCAAAAGGGAGGAAAACTTTATAAATCTGTTACAAGCTAATAATTTTGTGATGAGTAAAATATTTTATGAAATGAATAAGAAATTTACGGTTATGCTAGATTAAGCTGTTGGAATCAGATGCTTCAAATGATTATCAGCAAACTTTATAATGACAAGATTTTTCAAGTAAAGCTAACTTTATATTAAAGTTTGTCTTTTAAAATCTGTACTGAGTTACAAGGATGTGCCATTATATCTATTTTACAACCCAATATGATTTACACAGGCTAAACCTGTAAAATTGAAAGGAATTAAAAAAATGTCGCCGTGCACTTGCTTGAGGTTATGCAGACGCTTTTACAAATCTTCCAAGTGGCTGTAAAGATGAATGCCTCAAGGGTCCAGCCAGGGCCCTGCTTTTCCAACCAGCTAAAGCCCTTATCTTAAATCCAAGCAAAGTACCATTAATCTTTTTGAAAGACCTTTTATGGCTTTTAATATATCCCAAATTAGAACATTTTACACCCTTGGTTCCTGAAATATGGTGATAAAAAGCCTTTAGAGCTTAATTTTCCTTACTGCATGCTCTGACCAATTTGCAGTTCTTTGTGATAATGTTTAGACACCTTAATTAAAATGCAGCAAAATATTGGATGTTCTATATGGAAAATGCTGATACTTTGGGTACACATACAAGAAATTTTGTATGTATTTTTATTCACTTTAAAAAATTTCTTCCCACATTGTGTTGCTATAGTTATCTGATGACCTGAAACCGTTTTTTTAAATATAAAAACCATTGACCAAGCTTTTGTGATGTTTACATTGGGCATGAAGATGCATTTTTCTTTTTATAGAAGCGAAAGGGAGATTCTTGTCGGCCTATTTTGTTTGTTTGTAATAGCGAAAGATATCACGATATTTTTTAATACTTTGGAACTTGGGTTAGTCATCCTGAGGGGGAAACCACATTTCTTCTCAATCATCTCTTCCATAGACGGGTCTTATTATCCTTTTATACTTTCAGATATTTCTGTCCTTTTTTCTTTCTCCACAGAAGTAAGTGAAATACATTTATTTTAAGCAGGTTTAGGACACAAAAAGACCATGCCTTTCATCTTCATTACAAGCTAAAAGATTGTTTTCTTTAAAAAATATATAGACTAGGTTTATTCAGTGTTTATCAGTTGAACATTTCATTTAATGTAACCTAAGGTAAAATATGATTGGAGAATATGTACCTTTAGAACAGGTCTGTCTGCAAGTGTTGCCCAGAGACCTAGTCATTTATTATATTTATTTCACAAAATGTGGGAGCCTTCTCATGTGAGTTGTTGTTTAATATGTTCTAATTAATTATTTCTAACAAGTTTACACTGTTATATTAGGGAACATATTCTCTCTTTACTGTGATACTGGTTGTGCTGATTCGGCCTTGGCATTGCTGGGACACTAAAAGCTTTTATATCCTTAGAGTACATGACCATGTCAAGGTGAAGAGTCCTTTGAAGTCAAATGAGTGCATGTCCAGGACCCTGAGATGCTCTTTAGTTTGTCTGTCCTAAATCTAGGACACTCTTATTGGGACAATGTAAGCTCTATCTTAATTTCCAATAGTTTCGGAAAAATAATTTTTTCACATAGTTAATGGTATCTGGCACGTATGGATCAGATCATTTTTGTTTCTTACTCAAAAGTGTAGGCTCAATTTAAATGTAAGATAAATTAGCTGAGTGGGTCTTTTTTTGGTGAGTGAGTTTGGCAAAACTAATATTTTATATGCTAAATTTTTATATATAATACATAGAAATAGTGTCAGTGGAATAATAAGTGTATGTTTACCTTTTGGGGATGGGGGATGGGAAAGAAACTGACTCATCCTCATGAATGTGAAGAGACCTGTGGTATCTTAAACACAGTTAGGAAGCTGTTCTACAGCAGAAGACCATAGATTAGGTCTATTTACTGCTCACCTAATGTTCCATTGTACCTCCACATTTCGCAGCCCCCTTGGGTTTAGGTGGAGCCATGTGAGTAGTTCTTTCCAGTGGCGGTGAGCAGAAATGTGTCACTTTTGGACTAAAGCATTTAAGAGCTACTGTGAGGCCCTCCGGCTCTTACTCTGCTGTGGTGAACCTGAAAGCCATGTGTTCAGTAGCTGACCCCACGAGGTGGAGGACAGTCCTGCCCACCTACTTTCAGTGAAACAAGAAACAAAGTTCAGCCAGTGAGATTTGAGTATTTGTTTATATTGTAATGTTGACTATCCTAACTAGTTGCCAGGTACTAAGTTGATGTTTTGAATGTATGATGAGTGCGATAGCTTTTTAGTGGATAGGAATTCCATCTTTGTGATAAATTACGTCGTACTCTCCTTCTGGAGTTTCTTTTACCTGGGATGATTATGCTACAGCACTGTGAGTCCTAGCCTTCTTTTTGTTTGTTTGTTTCACTTACGTGAACTTTTCTATGATAAAGAATTAGAATTGAAAAGAGAACCAAAAGAATAAAGCCAGTACATAAGCAGTCAGATGTAACCAACAACCCCTTCCTCCTGGCCCTGCAATTTGAAAACAGTCCCTATTTTGCTCAACGCTGTATCTCCAGCACCTAGAACATTCCCTAGCAAAAGCAATTGTGCCTCTGTAAAATTTGTTGAATGGATGTTATCCTGTAAAATGGATGATGACCATAGTGCTGCTAATATTGGTTTGAGTTTTGAGAAAACACTGAGGTTAGTCTGTTTTACAGTTAATCATTCTTGCTTAAGTGGCTGTCCTATTGGGGTTGACCAACTTGGCATCTTCATTTGATTGATTGTCAGCCTTCTTCCATTTGCTTATATTCTTTCTGGGACCGAAAAATTAGATGTACTTTTGCTCTCAATATCATATAAACTCCAGCCAGTGCTTGATTACTGCTCGTCTGTTTCACCCTAAAGGAAACTGTGCTCTAGGATGAGCTGAAAGACATGTCAAGCATGCCAATCTCCCATCCCTAGATTGGCTTCTTTCCTGACCTGTGTGCTGTTAACCTCCTGCCATGCCTTACTGTTGCCAAGCAGATCCCTAAAATTTAGCTCTATACAGTGGTTTCCAGGTCATTTCTTCTCTTCTGTAAGCCTGTTTGTCTACTAATATGAACTAGGTTGAGTCCTGGGGTAGAAAAGACAAGAAACACCAGAAAGAGATTTTTAGCCTTTGTTGTTTAACCTGAGTTCTTAATGGATACAATGAAACAAGACAGTTGTCAGCACACCCATCCTGGAGATGCTTGCCGCAGACAGCTGTGCAGCCAGAAAGCCGCATAGAGCAGAGTGTGTAACTGTGAGGTTTTAGCATAGAAGCTGAGGGCTGGAGAAATACACAAACAAGGACTATTTTAGGTTGAGTTAGAGAACACTTCTGGGATGGGGGGGATTTCATCTTGAATGGACTTTGTAGGACTGGCAGATGGGTGTGAGGGGTCACACACAGAAGGCACCTGGGTACTCTGGTCCTGGTGCCCAGCCTTTTGCCTCTCAGCACCCCTATATTCTTTTCTCTCAGTGAATTAAAAGCTGTTGCCCATCATACAAGTACATTATGAAGTAGTAATTAGCTTTTCCATGTTTTATTAATCACATCTATGACTGACAATCAGAGCTTCTGATCAGCGTGAGATAACTGGTGTGACCATACTGAGTTGCTGTAATTCTAGCCCAGAGCAAAGAAACTTGATGTCTCTGTCAGTCTCTGCAGCCTTATCAGGCATAAATTCCTGTTCAGACTACTGCCAGGCTGAAATAGCTTGAAGATCCTCATTACTACCTTTGTGAACCCTTGGGGGGCCTGAGTTTGGGAAAGATTTCTATCCAGGAGACTGGTATAACTAGTATAAAGAGTCTTTTGGGAATTAAGGGAAATATGGGCCGTATCTATATATTTGTTATACTTTGTTTGAGGGGCCTAAGCATAGAATTTCTAATTTCTAGACATAGCTTTCTTATGCACAGGTTCTGAATCATTTGTGTTGTAGCAGTTGTTGTATTAGCTGGATATTTTAGTTTCATTTCTTTCTTCTTTGTAATTCTTAGCTAGGTGTAAAAATTGCCAAAGCAGTTGCCTGCCACAACTTCGTAAAAGCCAAAAAGGAGGCTGAAAATTCACAGGCTGCTCGAAAAAAGAAGAAACTTGCATGGGGGTAAGTTTACTTAAGGGTTGTTTTGTTAATTCTGTTGACTTCAGAGTAATAGCAGACATCCTGCTAATACACTTTATGTGTACAGTTTGTGTGTAATTGTTACTTTGCTCTGTATCTTCCTTAATGTTTATCAGAGTATAGATAGCAGAGCATTTCTTCATCTTGTTCAATGATTATTTTGTAATCATTGGAATATGAAAATTTTCAAGTTTGTTTTACTTTGATCTCTTAGTAAATATGTTACTTTAGCAAAGTATTTTTTAAAAAATGAGGGTTTTTTGTTCTTCATTTTAGGTTTGAAGCAAAGAAGAGATGGGAAACCAAAAGCAACATGGGATATATGTAACTTGCCAGAGTTCTTCAGGACATCTGTAGACTCAAGTGCTCAGTTTACTGAAAAGATTTTTCTGCTTATGTTAAATTGTATCAGGAAATTGGTAGAAGTAGAAAAAAATAAAAAAAATGGGGAGTTGTTTATCAGCTCTTTCTGGTTTTTCTCTAAGGAATTCATCCTATTGAATAAAATGAAGCATTCTGTTATTTATATAAAGAAATCTAAGAAAAATACAGGGAAAAAAAGGGTAGGATTTCATTTTATTTATTTGTGTACACCTACAGTATAAATTCAGTTTCCCTTTTTATCTGTTCGGTATAGCAAAGCCAGTGAGCTCCTTGTACTTCCCTGTCTGTACTTGGTGTAACTGCACTTTTACGGGAATTGTGTTTTTAAGATTGGCAAGTGTTTGTAATGGATTAGTCATAAGTGCAAAAAAGTCTCAGTTGATACTGTCTATAGAAATTACTTTAATGTTATAAAATAATTATTGATTTTCTATTGGAGGCAGTAGAGTTGATATTCCAAAATTACACAGTAAAAGCACCTAATTCATTTTTGTGTGGGTAAAATTACTACAATAAAAAGGGGACAGTATAGTGTTTGAAGTATGATTTAAATTGAGTTTTGCCTAGAAAGAACTTCTTAAATCTCTTTCTTGGCTATCTTATTCTTTAATTTATGAAATGGTTCTTAGAAGAGAAAATGGTACGGTTGTATTAAACAGACAATTATAACTCAATATAAATTTGAACCTTCTGAGAACTGGTTGATTTGTTTTCATTCTTTTTTCCCACTACTCTAAAAGATTGAATGAATTAATGAGGAGAAAGAGAGGATCGCTATTGTGGGGAAGTAGTTTTTGTTAGATGTGTGTGTTTCTTGGTCTTCCTGGGAAGGGGCTTTGAGGAGTGATTGACAAGCTGGTGGAGACCATAGCTGGATGTTTTAGCACCTCTCTACTCCATGCTTGAAGAAGTAAAGAACCACTGACCTTGTTTTCATTGCCTCCTTTCCTCATCCTTTGTTAGAAGTTTTGATACAAACTTTCTCAGAGTTGATAATATAAATTTAGGAACATATAAAATGAGCCATGAGCATAATTATATTTTTGCTATTTTTAGACTTAAAATAGTAACGAACTCTTATCAAATGGTGACATGTGTAATGTTTTCTTTTATGTTCTGGAATAAGTGAATATAGTCGCTATTTAAGAGTCCAAAAATCACATCTTGTTTCTATTTAATTGAGAAAGCCAGCCTAGAGAAAGCCGACTTTTAGGAGATTGCATATCATACCAGTTCATTATGAAAAGGTATCCAGACCTTAAAGATAAGCTCAGAAAATCTTATATTTTATGACTGAATATCCCCAGTTCCATTTTATACATATAATCATGTACAGCTTACTTCCAATATCCATTTTGAACTGCCAGTAGGTAAATAAAAGTATACAGGAAACTTCCATCTTAAAAATCCCTTACGGAGAAGCATCTACTACACACTGTCCAGTGGTTTTGCCAGAATTGTTAAGTTGTGTTTTTTGGTATGCTCTCACCTACTGGACACACCACCAGGTGAGGGCACAACTACTACGGGAACCTTACCTAACAAACGCTAACATTGTAACCTCGTTATTTTTACGCTCATATTAATCTGAAATTAAAAAACCACACTTTTGAGCAAGTGAGTGGTATAGAAATTCTCACACATGTGGCCCCAAGATAGGCACACGTGCCCTTTGGCCTCTGCCAGATTTTTTTGCCCCATATCCACACCAGAGTGTGCTGAGTAACTCCTGAGGCACTTTTCACTGCTCAGACTCAGTAGCCTACGTTGCCGGAGTAGCCTCCTGTATGTCTGGTTGGGGAGCCTCTGCAGCCACGGAAGCCCTTGTTCATCCCACTGCCGTGCCAGCGATTGCTTCCTCAGCACCTTACCAAGGGTTCTCACATAGAGGGAGCATTTTAACTGAGTAGAAGGCAGTGAGTGGGTGGAATTCCATGTAGCAGGGAACTCCCTCGGAAAGGGAAATCATATCTCCTAAGTCTTCACTTTTTAGGGGGCATGGATTGAGGAAAGCTCCAAAACATTATAGTGTTGGGGAAGACGGGGTGGGAGCAAAGGATTTGTGGGAAAGGAAGGGACAGGTTGTCTTGGGTTGGCACTGCTGGCATGTCATTTGAGACCAGTTTTATTTGATCAGCTTTAGTACCTATTAGACATTTTACTCATTGAAGCAATAAAATGGGAACATTATTCCTAGAGTACCCGTGTTACCTTAAGGGTATAGTCATTTGTCCTCACTATTCTGGTCATGGCAAAGTAAAGGCTCTTTCTGGATCAGTAATAACTTGAGTTCCTACAGTTTCAACATGTGCATTACTACTACAGAATGCCTGAATGAGATTAGTGATGTACACGTCAGTTATTGTTAACTGAGATTAATATGTTTCAGGCCATCGGTATGACATTAATGTAACTATGATTTACTGTTTAAGTACTTCAGGCTAAAACAACTTACTAAAGAACAGTAATTTTGAGCTTTACAGCACTGGTTCGGAGAAGTTGGCAATGCATTCTTGTTTGGGAGCCCTCAGGATGTTTCTGATTTTCAGCAAAACATTCTATTTCTTTCACCAAAAGGAAAGTTTGAATATATAATAATCTTCGGTTTGCTATAATTAGTTTTGATGACAGAGTTAAATACCTCGGCCAAGACTATAAATCAGTACTTAAACAGGTTTCTACGACTGATCGTAAATCTTACACTCCATATTTTAAACACGCTTATGTTTTTAGGCAGACAGATAAGGGAGGAGCAGCATGCCAAGGACAAGAAGAAAATGTTATCTGAACTTTAAGTAACAGCTTAGAACTGAACATTTAAAATCTGATTTTTTTCTTTATAACTTTTATCTAAAATATTATCTTTTAAATGTTTTAATAGCTTAGATCATTAGTGACTTTAATAAGATGCATTTTAATTCTGAAAATATGAAGATAGAATTTGTAAAATGTCCAATGTTTTAGTTGTTAGGTAAAGTATATTGCCAACTATAAAATATATTGATGAGGTTGATGTTTAAATAAAATGCAGGTTGTGTGTAATTTTTTTAGGAGGATATTAGGAGAAGCAAGCTGGTGTTATGTCAGATCCCATTTTAGGAAGTTAACTTAGGAAAACATGGCAGTCAAATTCCAAACCTACTGAATTCAGTTTTCTCCATGTTGACAGAATCACGTTTATTTTTAGTGTCTGGCAGAGCAACAAATGCCTTGCATGTCAGTTTAACATTTTTTCAAGCCAACTGTTTATTCATTGGCTTAAAATTTACACTCTGCTAAAGTCTTAGCTCTGACTTTCATGAAACAAATAGTAATATTTGGACAAAATATGTACATTAAAATCTTTTTCCAAAGCCAAATGTAGATTGGCATTTGTAGCACCAGTGCCTTCTAACATAGTAATAGTCTGAAAGTGCTTTGAAAAGTCTAAGGCATTGTACTCCCATGGCAGTGCATTTGGGTAATTAACTTTTATTATACAGTAATCAGAACATCTTTCTAGATTTTCAATTTAAATGAATAGGAGTCTTTATGGTAGAAAGTACAATAGGTGCTAGAGTAAGCTACAATGAACTATTGTGAGGTTTTTTATAATTATCGGCCGAGCTTGGTGGCTCGTGCCTATAATGCTAGCACTCTGGGAGGCCAAGGCCAGAGGATCCCTTGAGCTTAGGAGTTCAAGACCAGCCTGAGCAAGAGTGAGACCCTGTCTTTCCTAAAAATAGAAAAATTAGCCAGGTGTTTTGGAGGGCACCTGTAGTCCCAGATACTTGGGAGGTTGAGGCAGGAAGATCCCTTAAACCCAGGGGTTTGAGGTTATAATGATCTAGGTTGACACCATGGCACTCTAACATGGGCAACAGAGTGAGACTGTGTCTCAAAAAGAAAAAAAAAAGATATTTTAATCAGTGTCCATTTGTTCCTGACCTTTGTTGTATACTGAGACAATAATGTCAACTTTTCATTTTTCAGGTTGGGTTACTCTGTAGATTTTGATAAAATGAGCAGAATGTCATTCTGCAGTCTTTATTATTTTATTTTCCTTCCACACTACTCATCTTAAAAGAAAACAAAGAAAATTCACATTTCTGAGTGTTGTAGCTGTAATCAGCACAGAGGCTTCCTGGGAGGGGATTCTTGCCTTCAATAAGGGATGTGGCAGCATGTGGCTGAGGAAGATTACCAGGAGGAAACTTAGGAAGGACTTGAACTGTTTGGCTTTAGTATTAAAATGAAGTGTGTCTCCTTTCAGCAGTGTCTCCTACGCACTTGTGCATACTCTGGAGGTATGTGTTCCCTTTGCTGGGATTTCTTCAAATAGTGTTGCTGTCAGAGTAGCTTCCTGCCACATTGGCTTTTGTGATCTTAATCCCTGGAACACAATTATAGGCTGCTGGGGGTACAGTTTGTTAAATGCCAGGCAGTATGCTGTGTTTTTAGAGTGCTTGTAAAAATCAAAAAGTAGCTGAGGGATAATTATCTTTGTATTAGTAACTTGTTTTTAGATTCAAGTAAAAAAAAAGCATACAAATTTTACAAGCAAGTTGTCATTTTTAAGAAACTGAGCTTAAGTACACAACTTTTATATCCAGACAAAGTTTCTTAAGGAAGCACAATACAGAGCAAGGGAGGGTAGTACCGGAGTGAAGCCTTGGCACCTAAGTGCTCCTCTGCCAGGTGTCCCCTGCTCGCTGGCACCATCCTGGCAGCTCCAGTCCACACCTCTTCTTGGGCCCATGGGCTGCCTCCTGCTCAGTTGCTGCAGGGGGCCTGCTGTGTGACAAGTATGGAATGAGGTAATCTTTTTCCACTTCTAATTCCTGAAGGGTGTGTCTGTCCAGTTATTACTTGCTCACTGAACCTAAAGCTTTAGAAAGTAACAGCTATAGTACAAGCTGTAATTATTGATGTCTGTTTTATATTCATCTGTAAGTTCTGGCATTTGATCAGGAACTTGATATATCACTTCATCTTTGGGTTGAATGCTTCAGCTATAAAGGTTTTATTGTTTGATGGATAGCATACAATTATGACTCCCCAGAATAAAGTGTTTTCATGTATGAGGTGGGTGATGCTAG